AATGAGGTTTACCTAGTTCGAACTAAGCGCTCCGCTAGTTCGAATTAAGTTCGAACTAGCGGAGCACTAGTGTAGCGCCTATCAAAGTTAATTCGAACTAACGTCCGTTAGTTCGAATTAACTTTGTAGTGTAGACATACCCCCAGTTACAGAGATATTCCTAGGATTAATGTAATCAGCTACTGTACGGCAACCCCTTGCCCCAGCCTGACCCCACCCCCTGAGCCAGCCCCCCATGTCTCCTCCTGCGCTCTGACTCTCTTGCATCTCTGCCCCAGCCCTAAGCCCCCTCCCAGAGCCAGTACTCTGCACTCCCTCCTGCACACCAACTCCCTGCCTTGCCCCCCCCTCTTAGAGGCAGCAGCCCAAATCCCCTCCTGTAGCACTGCCCCAGCCTTAGCCCCTTCCCAGAACCTGTTTTCCGTGTGTATGTGTGCAAGTAGCTCTGTGTGTGTGATGTGGACAAAAACAAAAAAATGGCCGCTCACATGCACCCTTTTTAATTCTCTTCATTAGAAATCACAGACCCCTGTCATGTGGAATATACACTGACGACTAATGTAATTGCCACTAGTTCATCCTCATCGGACATCAGTGTTCCCTCTCATTTTTTCCCATCCATATGTGGAATACATTTTGTTATGTGGCCTGAGGCATGTGTGGATGTGCACCACCAGTAGCAACACACACTGCTGACGGCTGCCAGCTGTGGGTACTTTGCTAATTAGGTAGGAGACATTTGAATATGTGCTGGGCGGCGGCCCGAGCGCTCAGCTTAGAGGGAATGCTGTTAGGCACATCCGCCTGCATTCTCAAAGACAGCAAGTACCAGTCCTAAGCTTCCTGCTGGAACAGCCTACCACTGGAGGAGGACTACCCTGTGATGTTTCCAGTGCTGATAATACAATCTGCCTATGAAGCACTTTTTATGTGTCAATCTGAAAGGAGGGAGAGCCATGATTTTTGGCCCTTTCATTTAAGAGAGGGGAAATGTGGTATAGAGAGGTGAAGGACTAAATGGATACCTGGTGGTAGGTTAGGTGACTAAATCCTGTAAGCTCATAGATGCACCTTTAGGTGTCTAAATACCTTAAAATCTGGCCCTTACTGACTTATGTGGGATCTCATAGCCAGTAAGTCATAAAACTGTCCAGGAGTCCTAATCTCCCATTCTATGCCCTGTCCACTACCGCGCGCTAATTGCAATGCAGTATTGACCCTCCCACCTTCATTCACCTCCCCCTCTTCTTCACCAGAGCTCTTTGCACTGAAGGTTGCAATTGGGTTTGAAAAGATTCTCCCAGAATTACACCTGCCATGTCCGGCTCCCAGACAAGCAGAAGAAGGTGACCTAAATAAAGTGGAAAGTGGGAGCGTAACTAACCATTGGAATAGTTGAGCAACAGCTTTTATGTCACTTGGAGCCTTCAAATCAAGACATTATCAGGGTCAGTGCAGAAATTACTAGCTGAAAACTAAGGCCTGAGTTAGGCAGGTGGTCAGACTGGATGTCCACAGTTTGTCCCTGCTGGGCTTAAACTCTGTAACTCTAGATGTGTTTGTCAGGATTCAGTCCAGTTCCTGGTGAATAGGTATCTACACAACAAAATCCAAAGCAAATAGCACTATTCTCTGTTTTGATTTGTGGAGCCTGGTACTGCCACCAGTGCAACATCTGTCCTCCATGCCATCCTGGTTAGACTGGCACCCCTGGAGGATGAGAAAGAGGACACTTATTATAATGGAAAACGCCAGGATAACTTTAATTTACCAACAGTGCAGCCAGTGACTGCATCGTTTACACACCTTTGGTAGGGAGCATGTCTGCAAATCCTTGAGCAATGCTGTGGTACCGGTGCTTCCCTTTTCTTCCCATGATGGGTTGGTAACTCTGTGCTGTGCTTCAGTGAGCTAATCGTTTCGGGTTCCCTTTTGGTTATGGCCCAGAGACATCAAGGGGTCCAGTCCAGGCATGTCTAGATCCCTGCAGCAGGAGGAGGCGGGAGTCGAGGTACAGAGCCATCTATCTCCTTCCATCGGAGAGCTGCGGGTGTGAAAGTGGCTTTAATGAAAGATGAATGTTGCACTTTAAAGGAAGCAGCACAATAGTATATGGAGGGGGGATAGGAAAAGCAATGGGAAGCAGGAGGAGTGGGAAGAGAAAGAAAGACAGAGGAGAAAGGCAGAGAGAAAATAATTTCTATGGGAGTCTGAATTGTCCTGAGTCTACTGGTCTAAATGCCCTCTGAGCTCAGGAAGAGATGCCTCTGTGGATGAAGCCCTGTGCTGTCAACTGTTCCCATCGGCTATAAAATCTAGACACGAGGTGTATGTCTAGACTACATGGCTCCGTCGACGTATGTAGATGAGTTTATTAGACACAGGAAAATGAAGAGGCAATTTAAATAATCCCCTCTTCATTTACATCAAAATAGCCGCCGCACTGTGCCGATCAGCTGTTTGGCAGCACAGTGTGGCAGTCTGGACGCGCCATGGTTGACAAGGGAAGCCTTTGTCGACCGCTCCGGTAAACCTCATTTCACGAGGCATAACGGAGTAGTCAACAAAGGCTTCCCTTGTCAACCGCGGCATGTCCAGACTACCCCGCTGTGCTGCCAAACAGCTGATCAGCACAGCGCGGCAGCTATTTTGATGTAAATGAAGCAGCAATTATTTAAATCGCCGCTTCATTTTCCTATGTCTAGTAAACTCATCTACATGGCTCCGTCGAGGGAGCCATGGAGTCTAGACATACCCTTTGTGTCTTCTGTAAGCTGAGCTCATTGCACTCCCCAGGGCTCGTAGCATCACTTTGTGCCACCCCCATTCCTCTCTATTTCTTGGATTTCCTGCAACCTCAATTCTCGCTCCCTCCATGCCAGGAGTTTGATAAGTCCTCTCTTCTCCTCCCCCAATCCCAGAATCCTCCATTCTCCTCCCATGCCAGAGGCTCTGTGTGCACCCCTTTTGTGGCCATGATCTCCTCCCCCAATGTTCCCTCTAATCTTTTCCATCCATGTGCAGATTTTCTCTGGGTAGAATAATGTTTTTATGTGCACCGAGGCATGTCCCAATGTGTACCACCAGTAAAAATGAAACACCTAGCTGTGGATGCTCTGCTAATCACCTGGGGGAGGGGGCATTTTAATGACTCTTGAGTAGCTGCAAAAGTGCACAGCTTACAGGCAACACTGGTGGGGGTCCCCCCACCCCTCCTACCCTCCCACCTCCCACCCCTCCTACTCTCCCACCTCCCGCTCCCTGGCCGCTGTCTGGGAGAGAAGTCATGTGGGTTATCAACATGTTTAAAATGTATTAGAATAGTGGCGGGGGGGCGGGTGTTGTTGTGCTGAAAGGCAAGTTCAGAGCTGCCATCAACCAGTTCTTTGATCTGTAGGCGATAACAGACCTGGATAATGCTGCTGGATCTGCTAGCCAGATATAAAGGGCCCACAGCCATTGATACCTAGAATAATCTGGGACATTTTGAAATAAATCAGACGTGGCACTGATAGGCATGCCGAGTTGTGTGTGAGACCCCACTTTACTTGGCCAATAGAATTATCATCACAGCTTACGGAGAGTTGAGAATGGCCACTCACATGCACCCTTTTTCCTCCTGGAGACAGGCACCAGTGTCCCTGGGTGAGCTCATTCTGGGCAGGAGAAAGGGCAGGAGCGGACACAAACAACACATATCTCTGCCAGCTGGAGAGAGATCACCATGAACGGAGCTACTCTCTCGTCCAGGGGACCAGTGGCTCCTGCCAGAAATGGCTCATGCCCTGCAGCTGAGACAAGGGCCCAAGCTCTGCCACAAAGCAAACCACACAAATGGGGCCTTTCCTTGGATATTCACTCAAATCAAGCATATTTTGTGACCGCACCAGGACCTCCTTCCACTGTGCTAAACCCTGGGGAGTAGCCAGCCTTAGAGCTGCTGTATTCCATCCACTTGCTCTCCTTCTGGACTGGCACACTCAGAAACCACTAGGGATCACTGTCGTCTAGAGTGGGATCCCTCCACCACAGCTTTCACCATTCACAACTGCACCTTTGTCTCACTGGCCATATTTTGTGACCGCACCAGGACCTCCTTCCACTGTGCTAAACCCTGGGGAGTAGCCAGCCTTAGAGCTGCTGTATTCCATCCACTTGCTCTCCTTCTGGACTGGCACACTCAGAAACCACTAGGGATCACTGTCGTCTAGAGTGGGATCCCTCCACCACAGCTTTCACCATTCACAACTGCACCTTTGTCTCACTGGCCGCTGTCTGTGAAGACCCTGTTTGTGCAGACCGCCAAGAGCATTCTGCCCAGCTGTACCCAGACTATGCATCTGCTCTCTGCCTGCAGAATTCATTTGGCCAGAACCTCAGGTAACTTCTCCTTGATAGACACCTCCAGCAGGACAGTACCCCTAACACTGAAGTGGGGGTCAGTCCATAGGGAAAAGTGGCAATTTGTTAGTCACCTGCTCCCCCTCTTAACACAGCTAAATGGCCGTTGCGGGTCTCCGACCCCAGTTCTGGTCTAGCCTAACCCTGCTTAGCTCATAATATGTACTAGGATCACACCCCATGGCCACATCAATGATGAGCAAAAGCAGTTGAAGTTCTATGGTGCGTGAGATTCGTCTAAGCTCTCCAGGGACAAGTAGCACCCGGCTAACAGGAGCACTGAGTCCACCAGGGAGAATGGTTTCAAGCAATGTATCCTGGAGTTCACTTTTGTCTCCAATTGCTTCTCTTGGCCACTCCATTCTGTTGGGGATGTGTTCCTGTCTTACAGATGCTGGCCGTGCCTGTTGTACCGACTTGCCTTTAGCTGATTAAATCTCTCCCATTCTGTTGGGGATGTGTTCCTGTCTGACAGATGCTGGCTGTGCCTGCTGTACCGACTTGCCTCTTGCTGATTAAATCTCTTGGTGGTGAGAGCTGGAGTGTGATTTCCCCTGCAGTAATCAGGCCTGCTTCGGCCCTAGCAAAGTTTCCACTTTTTAATGAATCTCATCCTTAGGGTGCTGGGAATGAGTCTGAAAATTCAGCTGGACCCCACCATGATCCTCCCCACCCCTACCTCCTGGCTACAAATTGCCAAATCCTTCCTGTAATGATGTCTTTGAGCATCTACCCAGCTGCTGTAACCCTCTTTCTAAAGTTCTGGACATCCATCTGGGTTCTCTCTTCCCAGCTGCCATAACCCTTCCACCACTTACCCAGAGAGGTGCCCTGCCTCTGCATCAGCTGTTTAACCTTCCTTCCTCATAGCAAGACCACACTTCCCTTCCACAGCCACAACGCTCCTCCTAGCCTGTTATAGAATCATAGAGCTGGAAGAGACCTCACGAGATCATCAAGTCCAGTCACCTGCCCCAAGGAGGACCAATCCCAACTAAATCAACCTCCAGGGATGGAGATTCCACCACCTCCCTAAGGAACCTATCCCAGTGCTTCATCACCCTCCTAGTGAAATAGTTTTTCCTAATATCCAAACCTAGGCCTCTCCCACTGTAACTTGAGACCATTGCTCTTTGTTCTGCCATCCGTCACTACTCTGAACGCCCCAAGGAGGACCAATCCCAACTAAATCAACCGCCAGGGATGGAGATTCCACCCCCTCCCTAAGGAACCTATCCCAGTGCTTCATCACCCTCCTAGTGAAATAGTTTTTCCTAATATCCAAACCTAGGCCTCTCCCACTGTAACTTGAGACCATTGCTCTTTGTTCTGCCATCCGTCACTACTCTGACCAGCCTCTCTCCATCCTCTTTGGAACCTCCCTTCAGGAAGTTGAAGGCTGCTATCAAATCCCCCATCTCTCTTCTCTTCTGCAGACTAAACAAACCTAAATCCCTCTGCCTCTCCTCATAGGTCATGCACTCCAGCCCCCTAATCATTTTGGTTGCCCTCCTCTGGACCCTCTCCAGTGTGTAGCCTGGCTCACTCCCCAGCCACCAGAATTCTCCTTCTACCAGTCCCCGCTGCTACTAAGACATGAACTCTCTGGCCAGGTATCTCCCACCTGGAAATCGGGAAGCATTCTTAAGGGTTAGACACAAGCATGTGATGAGCTAATGGCTGTAGGTGTCTGTGCCAAGAAGGAAAGGGTTACATGTTAAATATGTACAAATTAAACATGTTCTGGTTGTGTCTAGCTGGGAGCTATACACCTAGGCTGAGGTGTTTAATGCCCAACTATAGAGCTGTGTCTACACTGGAACCCTTTTCCGGAAAAGGGATGCAGATGAGGCAAGTTGGAATTGCAAATGCAGCGGGGATTTAAATTTTCCCCGCTGCATTTGCATGAACATGGCTGCCGCTTCTTTCCGGCTCGGGGCTTTGCCGGAGAAAAGCACAAGTCTAGACAGGGATCTTTCGGAAAATAAACCCTTTTCCAGAAGATCCCTTATTCCTGATTTTAAAAGGAATAAGGGATCTTCTGGAAAAGGGTTTATTTTCCGAAAGATCCCTGTCTAGACTTGTGCTTTTCTCCGGCAAAGCCCCGAGCCGGAAAGAAGCGGCAGCCATGTTCATGCAAATGCAGCGGGGAAAATTTAAATCCCCGCTGCATTTGCAATTCCAACTTGCCTCATCTGCATCCCTTTTCCGGAAAAGGGTTCCAGTGTAGACACAGCTCTATAGTTGGGCATTAAACACCTTCCCCCTCTGATCAGGTGAAGATGGCACACAGGGACAAGCTAGGTGCAGACAAGAGAGTCAGTGACCTGAGAATGCCTCTCCTCTCTGTAAGATGAGGGGTCTTGGAAAGACAAGTGAAGAAGGTGATATCTCTTACTAGGCCACTCTCTGATGTGAGAGACAGGCTTTGGAGTCACTCAGAGTTCTTTGTCGAGTCTGGGAAACGCAGGCCGAGTGTCACAGTGAAGCAAGGTAGAACCAATTTTTTAGCATAAGTAGTTAGCACCTATTGTGAGGGACACTTGGAGTACGGTCCCCAGACCTGAAGAAGAGCTCAGCAAGGCTTGAAAACTTCTCTCTCACACCAACAGAAGTTGAACCTAAAAAAGAGACGACCTTCCCACCCCGTCTATCTAATATCCTGGACCCACAGGGCCACAACAGCACTGCATAAAAGAGAGAAGAGGGTCTGTAAGTCTTGATTGGGTGGTGATGGGACCTGGCTATACTGCTTTCAGAATGAGCTCCAGGCAAAAGGTACCAGCCACACAGAGAGGAGGGATTTGCATGGATTCTGCTCTGGGAAGATCCTTCTTTCTTCAGCCTTTGGTTACTTTCCATCCTCTCCTCCCCTGTCTCTGCTTGGAACCAAGGCTGAGAATGCAGGAGGTCAGTTTGGCCCTATCTGGCAGCAGCCAGGCCTCTTGGTCACTACTTGAAGTGGACCGTGTAGAGTGTTGCAGCCATATCTTCTCCCCACCCCTGACACACACCTCCAACTCTCCAAGAATACACCCCAACCATCCCCACATGTTTTGGTCAAGTGGAGAGCCCAGCTGGCCAATAAATCAGTCCTCAATGCCAACACATCAGGCCAACAATGGGATGGGGGGCTGGTTTGTAAGTTGGTAGGTTAACCCTTCTCCCCAAGTTATTTTTAGGACACCAAGTCCTGAGGCTGGACTTTGGTCACACAACTTCTAAACTCTTTGATGCAGCAAAATTGGCATCCGCATCTGTAGTCCCCAGAATGAGCTATGAAAATCTGTATCCACATCCACAGATGTGGATACCTGCATATTTAAAATGGGTATTTGCAAATTGTCAGGGCTCTAGCTATGAGCACTAGAGGAATAATAATACCTCCCTGGTCTCCCTTCTTCACAGGGGAGCTAACAGCCTTGCCGGACCCCGGGGCAAGGGTTCTGTGCTCCCAGAAGGGGTGGGGCATCAGACAGAAGGGACAAGGGCAAGGCAGCTAGCTCTCAGCCCTGCCCGGTCTGCAGCTCCCCCCTACCTGCTCAGCCCAGCCCTCAAAGCCACCCCAAACACACCATGTGGTGCTCCAGCAGCAATGTATAGGCCTCAGGCTCTGGGTATTACCCCTTTCCATTACTGGGCCCCAGGGCAATTGCCCCTTTTGCCTCCCTGTCAGCAGGCTTACCCCTGCCTTAGGGACGAGAGCCTGAATCGCTAGTCAAAAGCAAACATATCTGATCCTCAGCCCCATCACTTAGCACAAAGCAAATAAGCTTTTAATAAAATCCATGCCTCACGAAGAAAAACAACCTTCTTAGCTTAAATGGGACCAGTCCCTCCCTGGTGGAAGCTCATCACAGAGGGTGGAGTTATGCCATAGTGGAATCTGGCCTCATTATTTTAAAAATGCTGGTTGCCATGACCACTGGAAACAGCTGTTTATTTGACATCATTTCCAGAAGTTCCGCTGCTGTTGGTAAGGAAGGTGGATTTTTAAAAGCACGTAGTGACCTTTTTTCAGTTTTGTTTTTTCAGAAGCTGTTTGTTCCTCCCAAGAGCAGACATAAATGCCGCAGGAGTGTGGGGGTGGCAGCCCAAGGGAAGATGAAAGGAAATAATGCAGCTGTCTGCTTGCAAAACTGCTTCCGTCTGTCCCCTTTTTCCTCCTCTTACAATACACTCTGAGATGGTCCCCCATGTTAGGCCACAGAATCATTCCAGAGTTTCTCTCTTTTCTGATAATTGGTTGCTAGGAACTGATCTCCAGGCAGCGCCACACAAAAAGAGTGAGATCCTTTCATGTCTACAGTCTATCCTGCTTACAACATACACAGAAATATAGGGCTCTGTTGTCAAGCAAGTGCTTGAATGGGACATCCACATCCCACCTCTGGTCACTAAAACTGGCACTTAGGTATTTAGGCACACACTGAGACACGGATTCATATGTGCGTGCACACACACACAAATAATCACATGCAACAACACCCTTTTAGCAAACAAATTGTTAACCACATACACAGAAGTGCACACATCACCATCATCACAAAAGAGCAGGAAAATCCCTCATTTATTATCAGTGCTTGGAACCCAGTTTAGTCAAATGGTCCTCTTGGTCCAAAACCAAGACCTGAACCTGTAGCAGGAGATGGGCCAGAGTCTCCATGACAACCACTAGGAATGTTGATACTGCTATTCATTTTACAGGAAGGCACTTGGATAGTACAGTGGTGGGCAGTTATATACAACTCTTAGATCAATGGATAGGAGCCCAATCCCCCATCCAGTGCCTAGCTGGTTTTGGCTCCAGTTATTACTGCTCTTGAGATACAATGGCAGTGAAATGTTTTGGAGCTTGCAAAAGATAAAGCACAGGAATCAGATTGCAGAAAATGCAAAGAAACTTTATTACAATTATCACATTATGTGTGTGTGTGTGTGTGTGTGTGTACACACGCATGAACATACACATCATTGGGCTTTGCATTGTGAACCTACAAAGGAGATGTGTGTAGTTGACCATCTTCCCCTGGGGTTAAAACACCCCATGTTCTGCATTAGAACAAAGCTTCTCTCTCTGTGTGATGCTCTGCATCTCATCCCCAGAGTCAGATACATGTGTGCCAAATCTATCCTCAACGTAACCCCACTGAAACCAAAGCAAGTGAAGAATTTGGTTCCAGGTGTGTTATCTAGCTCATTCCTTTAAGATACAGCTTGGCAGCCAGTGCCAAATCTTCCAAGCTTGTGTGCCAAAATGTAGACCATTAAACCCCCTGTTGCTACGTAAACCAAAGAGGGTGAATGTTCACAGGTGTTGAGCTTCTGCAAATCCCAGCAATGACAACATTCGCTCAGCACCTCTGAAAAGCACAATGCTTATTAAGTACCTAAATATGAATTTAGACACTTATCCTTAGCCAAGTCGCTAGGGTCTGATTTGTAGAGCTCTGGAGTTCCCACAAACCCTTCAGTGGCCCAGCACCTTTGAAAATCAGACCCTTGGCCCCCAAGATCCATACATTTTCATCCCCCATTCCATCCCATTCCCAGCATCAGAGACATACAGGCACCTGTCCAATGAAACATGTACAGAACTGTACAAGACATTGTATTGTTGTCATAGAAGTGAAATCGAAGGGCATCTCTCTGTAAATAGATGGCTTTTTAAGATATAAATTTTAGTCGAGATCAAATAGTAAAAGTCACTCCAGCTGGAAAAGCATCTCCTTCCCTCTGAGGGATGGAAACATAAAATCCCCCAGTCTCTCTCTGTGTGTCTTTCCTTGAAATCAGTCAAGTCCAAAATACACATAGGGGTTGTTGCTCCCTACCCCCTCTGTGGCAGCTGCCCATTCAAGGAACCCTTCAACTTCCCAGAACCTGCAGATATGTCTCCTTTTAGCAGGTATGGTTATAACACCAGTCATTCATACAGTCATTTCTCCCAGCCAGTTAGAAGGTGTGTGGGAGTGGAAGTGATGGGGATATGCACCAAGAGGTGTAGGTCGTGTGAATGTCCGCTGGGAGCAGATGGAAGATGGCAGTGAAGGTGTGTTAAAGGCAGGCTGGGTACAGCCGGCACAAGTCTGTGGGGGGAGGGGGCTGCTCAGTCAGCAGCAGGGAAAAGGACAGTGGTCTGGTTTGTCAACAGACCTAGTGCTGCTTGGCTGCCAAGGCAGCAGCCCGGGGGGGAGGCCATGCCCAGGGCTTTTCCAGGCCCCTTGTGCCCTTGCCACCCCCGTCAGACGGGCCCCTCTGGAAAGGCCAAAGAGTCTCTAGCCTGCTGGCGTCAGCAGCCCACCTAGCAGGACAAGCAGGGCGCCTTTCGGGGGGGCTTCCAGGGCGGCCTCTCCGCAGCCAGCGGGCTGCGCAGGCTCCACCCCCTCATCTCCCGGCCATGCCCAGGGCTTTTCCAGGCCCCTTGTGCCCTTGCCACCCCCGTCAGACGGGCCCCTCTGGAAAGGCCAAAGAGTCTCTAGCCTGCTGGCGTCAGCAGCCCACCTAGCAGGACAAGCAGGGCGCCTTTCGGGGGGGCTTCCAGGGCGGCCTCTCCGCAGCCAGCGGGCTGCGCAGGCTCCACCCCCTCATCTCCCGGGCCAGGGTCAGCACCTCGGCCGCCTGGAGGCCTGGAGCCGTCGCGGCGCCGCCGGGGCTGGTCCTGGAGGAGGCGGCGGCGGCGGCCGCGTGGTGGCAGGAGGCGCCGAGGTTTTCCTCCTCCTCCTCCTCCAGGATGGAGCTGAGGCGGCGGGCGCCGCGGCCGCGCTCGGCG